TTTTTTATTATTTCACAACATCACTGTCAGCACAGTTTGAATGCTATTCAAATGTCTTTACAGAACCAGCACAACGGAGGTCATCAATACAATCTAACGACAAATAATGAGATTTATTAAACTATATGCAGTCCGCGCATGCCTAATTGCACTAGCTGTTGTTGAGAACAAAGCCCAGACAAAGTCATCTTATTACGCCCGGCATCCGGGAATCCAGCTTCAAGGTCACGTGATCAAAAACATTGCGACATCAAACATTTTGAATTGCATGTTTGAATGCAGTAAAACACAGGGATGCTTATCGATCAATTCTCACAACACTGGTAACGCGATACACTGTGAGCTTAACAAGTCAAACCGGTATGGCAGGCAAGCAAACCTGATTAAAACCAGTTTGGATCACGAGTATTTGGAAATGGTAGGTTAAAACAAGAATTACACTAAGGAAGTTTTCCCACTATCGTTCTACGATATGGGGACCATTGCCGGATTCCAAACCGAGTGGGGACTGGGCAAAATCCCCTAATTGGATAATCACGAGGTTGCACAAGATAAGACTTACATATAAAGAAAGCTCTTGTTGAGAAATGCAAAATTCAAAAATCTGGTGTCAATCGGTTCAATAGTGAACGAGTTACGAGCTTTCAAAAATTTTAAAATTTGCAAAGAAGAATGTGTCCGAATTTTGACCATTTTCAGGACACATTCACGGCTTTCCATACATTTCTTTGGAAATTTTAGAATATTTGAAAGGCTGTAACTCGCTCACTATTGGACTGATTTACATCAATTTTTGGAATTTTGCATTTGTCAACAAGGGCTTTCTTTCTATGTAAGTCTTACGTCATGATTACCCAATTAGGGGATTTTGCCCGGTCCCCCCACGGTTTGAAATCCGACAATAAATTAAACATTTGTTCCATTTGAACGATGCCTTGTAAATTCAGCTTTCATTTTTTGATTCTTTTCTTTACTTTCAGGTATTCGTTTGGCCCGATGCTTGCTTTCAGAAACTGGGTAAAATATGACTGGTTATTACTGGATGTCGTTAAGAAAGTGATTCTGAACTAAAGCAAAGCTTGGAATCTATAATGTTCCTCTATAAATTTGTACATCGGAAAGCCTATATCAATATTTTTGCGCCATAAAAGAGCACTATTGAATGCCCCGGGGGAGGGGGGAGAAAACTCCCATATAGGGAGGGTTGTAGCCTGATTTTCAGACGGGGCCTGGGTCCTACGCTTCTCTCCGCCCCGTCTGAAAATCAGGCTAGGAGGGTTGGGGATGATCGTAGAATCTTTTAGGGTTTAAAGTCAGGGTTCTGATATCTTTTAGGGTTTCTATTTCAATTTCATTTATTCCTGTTTATAATATTGGTAGATAAGAGAATTTATGAAAATGCTTTTATAAACCTTACGATGTTGAAATCTCTAGAATTGTAAAAAAGTGCTTAAAAATATGAATTTGTTAATTATTACTTGTTATCTTGTGTAGTAATAGTGTCTGTAGTTTTTCCTTTTCTTTGGCATTACAAAGCGGAAAATCATGCACCAAAAAAACTCCAGCAAATAATCAACAAAATAGAAACCCATATTAAATTGTGTTTTTATATTTTCAGATGGTTGGCATCGAGGCAAGTCTGCTGCCTATAAGATTGTTAAAGAGCCTGCAAACTTTCTAGAAGCTCGACAACGGTGTCAGAAAATGTCGGCAGGCGCAGATCTGGTGTCCCTTGCCGACAAAGAAGAGGAGGAAACCTTCGACCAGTATCTTCAAGGTTAGTCTAAGACAGGCGTTGAACCAATTTTTATTTCAGGGTCTTAATGGGGGGATCTCAATGTCGGTAGTCAGTTAAAATTTCAAGCATTTGTCGCTAGTCAGTTAAAATCACTAGGCATTTGTCGGTAGTCGGTTATTTAAAAAAAGTTGATAAACATTAAGTTTAAATACATCTAAAACAGTGGGTTATGTCAACAGAATTCTTTCTAAAATGCCAACAATTGAATCCTTTAGTCTTGATTGGTCAATTGGTTGCCCCTCAAAGTTTTAGTGTGGCTCATCACAACTTCAAGAAGCCAATCCGAAGCAAAATTTATTTTTTCCGCGGAAAATTTCGAATGTAGTTGCTTGAAAAATAAAAAAAAGCTTGTATTCAAGGAGCTAACATCTTTGAATATTGGAAAATGTCGCCAGTCAGTAAATTTGTTATTGTCGCTAGTCAGTAGTTATTTTGTCCATTTGTCGCTAGTCGGTTAACCCCATTCAGACCCTGTTATTTAGGTGCAATTGTTTAAATATAAAATAATATAATATATAAAATAATAATAATAATATATAAGCTTTTATAGCGCTTAAATAGCTTTCTCTAAGCGCTTTAAATAAAAGGTAAAAATTAGAATAAAAAGTTAAAGTAGAGATTGACAAAGAAATATAGATAGTTAGAGATCATGAGTTTGTTTTAAGATCATGGTTCTCTTCATAAGGGACTGTGCAATAATTACCAGGAGGGGGGGGGGGGGGTAAAACCAGAGGGGGACATTACATAAAATTGATGGCAAGATAGGGGGCTCAAAGTGAAATTACCTAATTAACATAGGGGGCCTTAAGTTTCACTCAAAATTTCCATAATTTTCGATGTCTCTCAAAATGCTGGAAATCGCATTTCCAAGAGTTATTTCTTTCAAAGTTTGAAAAAAAAATTCAAAATTTTCTGGGGGAGGACCAGACTCCCCTAATACTTCCGCCTTTGGCGTTCGTTAGATTCCCAAAATATATGTCGCGGTCCCTAACATGTGCATAAAATTAAGTCCACGCTACGCGCCTGACTAATACAAATCTAAATTCAAAGACTCGTTGATGTGTGATTGAAATTGACCAAGATATGAATTTTTTTTCAACTTTTGATTTTTTTCAATTTTATCACGTCATAAATTGAGGATGTAGTTTTCACATAAATGTATGAAGATGTAGAAGCTGAAAAACATATTGATGATTTATTAGATATCACAAGTACAAGTAATATCAAAGTCGTTTTTGACTTTTTTTGGACCTTGAAAACCTTTGCCAGGAACAAAATTATTTGAAAGAAGCAAGGGCACCACATTTGCTTGTCAGCTCTTCCTGAAAGTTTTTGTCTTTACACTTAGATCCAGATGAGTAAGCCACCTCTTGCATCTGGGTTCGTCTTTTAGTGAATTTTGGGTTGCTGCAGTTGACTCGACTCGCTTATGCTTGTTTCAGTAAGGTTAATAGTTGGGGGGGTTCGACGTTATTTCTAATATAGCAGAGGGGGTTAGAGCTATTTTCTTATGCTTCGGAGGTGGGGTTCTAACTAATTTTCTGCTTAAGAAATCTGGGTTTACGGTCCCCCCCTCCTGGTAATTATTGCACAGTCCCTAAAGGGACTCTCCAATATTTATCAGGTTGTTGAGAAATGGGTGTCAAGTGCCTCCTTTTTTCACGAGAAAACTCTTTACTCTTATTTTAGGCATTGGAGACATAAATGAAATTTGGATTGGACTAAGTGATCTTGCTAAAGAAGGGACTTTTGTTTGGTCTGATGGCAATAATTCGACCTACACAAACTGGATTAATGGAGAACCAAATAATTATAATGGTAATGAGCATTGCACCATTAAAAGGCTTGAAAACAGTTGGATGTGGAATGACGATAAGTGTGAAGTAAAAGCTCCATTCGCTTGCAAAGTGTTATGCACGTAAAAAGAAGTCAAATGACCACCCCACACCAAAAAAGTATCCTAATATGGGTGGCTAGCTCATATAGCACCTATGACAACTGACCTGTGTAGAAAGGGAAATATTCTGCTTAAACATTACCCATGCATTAATTGTAATATTTAAAATGCAATGCATATTTCGTAAGTACATTTTTTCTCTGATAGTCCAAGATATCTTTCCTGTATTGTCAATATTGAAATTACGCCTGCCTTGTCAAGTTTGTTCTTATGCCTGTATTTGTTTTAAAAAGAGCTTTTATTTACCTCCAATATATAGAGAGATACCACGAATACGTTATTTTTACTACTGAAAATAACAACTTTACGTAGTGAGGAAATATAGGTATTCTATAGATAATGATTATGAAATATTTCTTTTAAATATAACTTCGCTTACATGTATTCGATTTTTTTCTATTTCTTTTTCATTTTCTTCTCTCTCATTCCTTTTTGTGCGATTAGGCCTATAGTTTACACGAAGCCACCGAAAACAATGACAGTATACGCATCTTTTTGAAAAAGAAAATGGTTGTACATTTTCTTATAAACGTAGTACACACGGAATATGTATAGTTTAAAGCACGAGAGAGAGTGTTTTATCACGTATCGTGCGGGCGTAGGCTATATGGAGTTCCAAATCCGATAGCAAATCATCAATGTCAAAGTTCGGCAATGGAATGCTGTCAAACGTATTTTGAGCAATAAGCAAATCGTCGTCACTGTTCAACATCGTTTCCAGAATGACTGCATGTTAAGAATATTCAATAAGCATGTTCAAATCTCGATTGCTCGCTCTCGCATGAACAAGTTCACTCAAAGAAAACTATTTTCAACAGGCCATGGAAAAGTCTCAAGAGGACTCCATTGTTCGAATCCCAACTAAGAAAACATTTATTCAGTCTATTCAGTTTTTGCGAAAACCACGTGAATTGGAAACTAAGTTTGTAAATTATCTTGCACGTCGGCATTACTCTATAAACAGCCCGAGGGCATGGCTGTATATAGCGTAGTGCCTCCGTTCTTGGTATCTAACTCTTACTTCGTTCGCTTGTGAAGTATTCTGCCCGTAAACCTTCATAGATTAAGGATCCTTTGCACTTGAAGGTCAAAGAAAAAAATATAAATCATCTCTATTAAGTTAGCGCTGGGTTAGCTTTAGGCCCGATTCTTGCAGCGCGATTCTCAAGGCGATCGTCGCGCGACTTTCGCCTGAGTTTGGAACATGCTTGAAAACTGGCTGCAACTTCGCGGAGATTTTCCATCGTCGCAACAATCGCAAATCGCAGGGCTGTTTACATGTGCGATTTGAGTTGCGCGCTAGCAAAGTGGCGATTATCTCGCTGCAAAAATCGCAAGTGTAAATGGGCCTTTATTATAGCCGAAAGTCTTCATTTAATGAAACCTATTATTTTTTAATATAGGTTCATTAAGCGAAGACAAAAAATGCTAGATTTGATTAGAAAACGACATCCGTAAATAAGGAAATACCCAAAATAGCTATCAGTCCTCCATTCTCGATGGACAAGCTTTTTGAAACAGCTGTACAATATGATACAATAAGCAGCTGTGAGGGTCATGGTCACATTTATTGAAAATCATCCTTGGGGATGAAGACTGCAAGACTTCTTAAAGAAAAGGTTAGAATTCATGATTTATTGAGTTAGCAATATACTGTATCAATGATGTAATATAAAAGCTAAATAGAGGATATTACATGGACGTGCGGAGATACGGATTTTATCTTCGAGTGTTGAAAAGATTTTCAACACGAGAAGATAAAAATCGTATCCCCAAGCGAACATGTAATATTCTATTTATCATATAATTTTATATGAAAACAAAATATGTCGTAAAATAGCTTTTTTTTACTTGCATTATTTAGCGAAACCTCGGACATGTGTTATTTTCACTAGTGAAAATATCAAATTTACGAAATGGAGAAATATAGATATTTCATAGATAATTATATGATAAAATGATTTAATATTTACACCGTGTTAACTTGCATGTTCTTTGAAAATCCTGAAGGAGCTTCAGAAATTTGCGCTAGATTATAAAAAAATAAATTAGAAAAAAATAAGTTCTGAGCTTAATAATAGCTTAAATATACAAGACCAAAGGAAATATTTCAAGCAAGCAGTGAGCATGTATGAGATAGATAGATAGATAGATAGATAGATAGTTTAATAAAATAAAACATTGCAGCTACCGGCTGAATTACGTTATATTTACATAAGTTAAAAGTAAAATTATGAAAGATAAGGGAAAAACTATTTATCAAAAATGTCGAGAATATTTAAAACTATGAATATAATTAAAAAGCTATTTATTATAAATATGACTGAAGATAAAACTGTTCTTGCAACGTTCGGTTTTGCATTTTGGCAAATTGCGAGGTCTTTTGTTCCTCAAAGAGTAGGTTGATGTGTTCATTTTAGTTAACAGATGGTACAGTTTATGGTCCTTGTTGTTACAGATCTCGTTGAACACCTTTGATGATAACTCCTCTCTTCTCTCATACAGCGTTGCCAAACCTGATTCGCTTAGAGCTTCAGCGTACGATAGTGTATGAATTGCAATTTTTGACACACTCGCCCCGTAAAATTTGAATTACAGTCAAAACTAAGACTATGATGGTCTTAACTATAAGAGGGTGTGTCACAAATGAAACTACAATAATCAAAACAGTATAGATATTTGATATAAACATATCAAAAAGTACAAGATAATACGAATTTCATTTAAATTTCAACCACACACACAAACAAAAAACACAAATCAATTTAAGCCTGTTATCTAACAATATTTTAGTATACCTTTGGCTGTTTTTAAAAATAAAATTAAAATTACCGCAAATCCTTCATGTCGACTCCAGATTTCCTTAGAAGCCTTCTTCTCAGCTCAACGTTAACGGTTTTATAACAACGGTTTTATAAACGGGCTAGGTGAATAAGTAAGTCCTGATGATTGTAATCAAACAGAAATATTACTCTTACCGTCTCATTCGCTATTTGATGTTGAATATCAACTAGNGAATGTCCAAAACACTGTTTTGTATGTGCGTCGTTTTTCTTTAATTGTTGCTCAAAAACGCTAATGAAAGTTTGAAAACGTTTAGGAACCCACGGACGCATCCGCCTGTGTCAAATGCAAATTTTTTTTAATGAAAGTTCCATCGTTCTCTTGAGTCTCCGTTGGCGTTACTGCATGTCTGTTTGCTCTGATGACAATTCTTTTTATATTTGACAGCAGATTCTATTACGCAAAGAACTTACCAAACACAAAAGAAAGCACGAGAAAATGTTGTAAGTACAATAGCGCTAACAATTTACATTTTCCCCGAGTTGAGGGTAACCCTTTATTCCCAGAAGGCTCATACATTAGATCTTATGGGAATACAGGGTTAGTCTCAATTCGGAGAAAATGCAAATTTCAAGGTTATTGTAAAAACGAAATTTTCTCGTGCTCTCTTTTGTCTTTGGTCAGGTTTGCGCAAAAGAATCTGATGTCAAATAAAGCAGGGGTTTTTCGCTTCCAATTCGAAACTGGAATATTCTGTTTCGATTTTTCGAATTTAAAACAATATTACCATGACGTCAGAAAATAATCAAAACTCAAGTGCCAAGTTTTGATAATTTTCTGGCGTCATTTGAATTGTCGATAAGCGTACAGACCATAGAAAAGCGATTTCGATTTGCTTTTTACCATTACAAGGCCGAAAACAAAGTAAAACTTTCAAAACAAAACCGTTTCTGGCGCCCCGGCTCGGTGCGCGAGCGATTCGTCATTTCATCGGTCTGTCCTACGATCGACAACGGCTCTCGACCAATCAGCGCGCGAGAATTCTACAAGTCATGGTAAAATTGTTAAATCGAATTCGCTTTTCTATGGTCTATACGCTTATCGACAATGAAAATGACGTCAGAAAATGATCAAAACTCAAGTGGAACCACGAGCGTAGCGTAGCGTAGCGAATTCGAATCGAATTAATTTCAATTGAATGTTTTCTATAAGTACCTTTTTTCTGATGGATGGTTATCAGGCTGAAGGATCCGATTAGGATTAGAAATTAGGATAGACCTCTAATCGGCTAACGCGTTGGCAATATGTACTTTACCACCCAATTAATATCCCGGATGTGGGAAAAAGAACTTATGTTTCTAAGAATTCAACTGTGGAATGAAAATACAACGAACAATTTTAATTTTAAGTTTAAAAACGTACTCCCGCGTGGTTGTATTGGGTGGAAACGTTTATAACAACACCTTAGCCGATAAGTTCTATTCCAGAATTAAATACTCTCCATAGTGTATATAAAAATGTGCAACAATTATTTTTTTAGTGCGAATCGAAAAACCGTGATCGCCTAGAAATATTTCGGGAATGTGTATTTGAAAAGTGACTTTAGCTGACAACAAGAAAACATGACATGAAAAATATAAATGGACAAACTTTGTGTTAATTCTAAACAAAATTGTTCTATTTTTTAGCTTTTACAGGCCGTAACTAGTTTTATTTATTACTCGGGGTCCCTGTGGAACCGCCGAGTTTAGGTTTCGGCCTTCATGGTAGTCGCATTTGGTACACAAATTGTCTCGGCCAAATTAGAATGCACTGGGTACGAATCACGTGACATTCACAACTTCCATGTGCTATCTTATGGTGTCGTCGAGGTGTCTTGAGGTGTCGTCTTTATACGAGATGGAAGACATGAATTCAACTTCAAACACGTTCAAATCTCTTACAAATCCACACACTATTCGCCGTATAGCCACACTAAAAGATGTCGAGCGTTTTTCGAAAGGGCATTTTGAGAGATACCGCGAATTTATCTTGAAATTTATCTTGCAATTTATCGTGAAACTTATCGTGAAATTCGAACCAATCTTATCAAAAGCGAACTCTATACTATTAACTGATTCTACAGGCTCTGAAAATACAAAGGACTTCTCTAAGAATGCGAACAGAATTCACTGAGGAAAAACCGACGATTGCAACTATTTTATTTAGCAGAGAGGATAAAAGACTCTGTCTTTATAGCCTGCCACGTGACTATCAAAGTGAGGAGAGCTTGACAAAGACTATCAATTCTTCCTTAATGCTAACTACATTGCTTCTGTTATTATTTTTCATTCAAGGAAATATTTTTTGCTTTACCCTTTTGATAGTGTTAATATTAACTCTATTAGGGTTCAATGCAGTGCAATTCTTCGACAACTACACTCAAACTATTGTCACTTCATCGTTTAGTGATTGTGATATCTTAGATAAAACTATTTGTATGACTGTTTATGGTGTATACAATGATGCAGAARTTACAATAAACATTACAAGTACTACAAGATCTCGTTATTCAAAGTTTGTTTATTATAATTATCGACATGAACGTTGTAGTCGTAGTCGTGAGCCCAGTAGGATACCAAAACGATTTCTAAGACGCTTACATAACAAAAGTAGAAAGCTAAGATGGGTTGTTTATCATCGAATCTGTCAAAAGAGGTTTATCTTAATTTTGTCTTACATGTAAAATGACATAATAAGATTGTTGTTATTGTCTTGATATTTGTTCATGTTCTTTTAATAATACGAAGTTGGCGTAGACACAGTTATTTTTTTAATTTCTCTAAATGACTTTTAAGTTATTAAAATTGTGATATTTATATTACTACATATCATGAATTGTCTATCAAACTAGCTACCCATCTTATCAAAAGCGAATTATGTAGTAAATATATAGCAAACACGCAAGTGTAAACGAGCCTTACCAAATTCACTACTATTTTATCAACAAGAACCCTGAGTTTACGCAGTTATGCGTCTAGTTTAATTAAATTTGCACGTGAAAATGCACTTGATGACGGTTTATCTCGCTTCTGATTGGTCAATGAACAATAAAACATTCCCGAAATATTTCTAGTCGGCCACGGTTTTTCGATTCGCACTGTAATTATTAATTCTAGCATAGATTGAAGAATATAAATTATTCACAAAAATCGATTTGAAAAAAAAANGATGTTGAATATCAACTAGGAATATGAATATATTGGCTATTACATTCATTTTGCTATGTATGGAAGTCATATTTACGGTCTTGTAAAAAACTTGTTAAGACTGAATTTTAAAATTCCAGAATTTTACGTCAAAATTTAAAATATTCTTATAATGTATTGCGCAAATGAGTGTCCAAAAAACTGTTTTATATGTGCGTCGTTTTTCTTTAATTGTTGCTCAAAAACGCTAATGAAAGTTTGAAAACGTTTAGGAACCCACGGACGCATCCGCCTGTGTCAAATGTAAATTTTTTTTAATGAAAGTTCCATTGTTCTCTTGAGTCTCCGTTGGCGTTACTGCATGTCTGTTTGCTCTCATGACAATTTTATTTTCTTTTTATTTGACAGCAGATTCTATTACGCAAAGAACTTACCAAACACAAAAGGAAGCAAGAGAAAATGTTGTAAGTATACAATAGCGCTAACAATTTACATTTCCCCGAGTTGAGGCTAACCCTGTATTCCCAGAAGGCTCATACCTTAGGTCTTATTGGAATACAGGGTTAGTCTCAACTTGGGGAAAATGCAAATTTCAAGGCTATTGTAAAAACGAAATTTTCTCGTGCTCTCTTTTGTCTTTGGTCAGGTTTGCACAAGAGAATCTGCTATCAAATAAAGCAGAGGTTTTGCGCTTTCAATTCGAAACTGGAGTACTCTGTTTCGATTTTTCGAATTAACAATTTTGCCATGACGTCAGAAAATGATCAAAACTCAAGTGGAACCACGAGCGTAGCGAGTGGTTTCACTGCCAAGTTTTGATCATTTTCTGGCGTCATTTTCATTGTCGATAAGCGTTCAGACCATAGAAAAGCGATTTCGATTTGTTTTTTACCATAACAAAGCCGAAAACAAAGTAAATCTTTCAAAACAAAACCGTTTCTGGCGCGCGCCGGCTCGGTGCGCGAGCGATTCGTCATTTCATCGGTCTGTCCTACGATCGACAACGGCTCTCGACCAATCAGCGCGCGAGAATTCTACAAGTCATGGTAAAATTGTTAAATCGAATTCGCTTTTCTATGGTCTATACGCTTATCGACAATGAAAATGACGTCAGAAAATGATCAAAACTCAAGTGGGACCAGGAGCGTAGCGTACAAAAGCGAAAAACGAAATCGAGTTAAATCGAATTCGAATCGAATCGAATTAATTTCGATTGAATGTTTTCTATAAGTACCTCTTTTCTGATGGATGGACATCAGGCTGAAGGATCAATTAGGATTAGAAATTAGGATAGACCTCTAATCGGCTAACGCGTTGGCAATATGTACTTTACCACCCAATTAATATCCCGGCTGTGGGAAAAAGAACTTATGTTTCTAAGAATTCAACTGTGGAATGAAAATACAACGAACAATTTTAAGTTTAAGTTTAAAAACTTACTCCCGCGTGGTTGTATTGGGTGGAAACGTTTATAGCAACACCTTAGCCGATAAGTTCTATTCCAGAATTAAATACTCTCCATAGTGTATATAAAAATGTGCAACAATTATTTTTTAGTGTAAATCGAAAAACCGTGCCCGCCTTGAAATATTTCGGGAATGTGTACTTGAAAAGTGACTTGAGCTGACAACAAGAAAACAGGACATGAAAAATATAAATGGACAAACTTTGTGTTAATTCTAAACAAAATTGTTCTATTTTTTAGCTTTTACAGGCCGTAACTAGTTTTATTTATTTAATTAAATTTGCACGTGAAAATGCACTTGATGACGGTTTATCTCGCTTCTGATTGGTCAATGAACAATAAAACATTCCCGAAATATTTCTAGTCGGCCACGGTTTTTCGATTCGCACTGTAATTATTAATTCTAGCATAGATTGAAGAATATAAATTATTCACAAAAATCGATTTGAAAAAAAAAACATCACTTTCCGAAAGAATGTGATTAATTTTTTATTATTTCACAACATCACTGTCAGCACAGTTTGAATGCTATTCAAATGTCTTTACAGAACCAGCACAACGGAGGTCATCAATACAATCTAACGACAAATAATGAGATTTATTAAACTATATGCAACAGTCCGCGCATGCCTAATTGCACTAGCTGTTGTTGAGAACAAAGCCCAGACAAAGTCATCTTATTACGCCCGGCATCCGGGAGTCCAGCTTCAAGGTCACGTGATCAAAAACATTGCGACATCAAACATTTTGAATTGCATGTTTGAATGCAGTAAAACACAGGGATGCCTATCAATCAATTCTCACAACACTGGTAACGCCATACACTGTGAGCTTAACAAGTCAAACCGGTATGGTAGGCAAGCGAACTTATTTAAAACCAGTTCGGATCACGAATATTTGGAAACGGTAAGTTAAAACGAAATAACACAAAGGGAATTTTCCCATTTTTCCAATTACCGTGCCGCGATATGGTGATCAGAAATGAAACATTTTTCTTGCTTCCATTTTACATATTGAACCATGCCTTGTAAATTCAGCTATCATTTTTCGATTGTTTTTTTTGTTTTTGTTTTTGTCTGTTCTTTTTTTTTTTTACTTTTATTTAGGTATTCAACATAGATTGGTCCGATGCTTGCTTTCAAAAAGGTAAAGTATAACTATAACTTTCTTATATCAATAAGAAAGTGATTCTGAACTAAAGCAAAGCTTGATAGTTGTCAAATGTTATCGTCTATAATGTTCCACTATAAATTGTACATCGGCAATTGTATATCAAAATTTTTGTGCCCGTGAATATATCCCCATAATGGGCCGGGCAAATCCCAAGGGATGGTTAAAATGTGTTCTTATGCCTTCAGATGGTTGGCATCGAATGAAGTCTGCCGCGTATAAGTTTGTTAAAGAGCCTGCAGACTTTCGAGAAGCTCGTCAGCGGTGCCAGAAAATGTCGGCAGGCGCAGATCTGGTGTTCTTTGTCGACAAAGAGGAGGAGGAAACTTTTGACCAATATCTTCAAGGTTAGTCTTTAAAACAGAGTTGAACCAATTTTCATTTATATGTATGTTTTGTTTTTGGATCGTAACGCACGCGTTTTCGCTCTTGAAGATGATCTCCTTCACACTCCCCCAAAAATGTAGCTGAAATCGGATGTGAACCGTTGGAGTTACGTAGGTGTTACATGTCTTTTTTTCCACAAGGAAACTCTTTATTCTTATTTAAGGCATTGGAAACATAAGTCAATTTTGGATTGGACTAAGTGATCTTGCTGAAGAAGGGACCTTTGTTTGGTCTGATGGCACCAATTCGAGCTACACAAACTGGAGTAATGGAGAGCCAAATGATCATGATGATAATGAAGACTGCACATTGAAAACCCCTGAAAGCAGTTGGCATGACGATAAGTGTGAAATGAAACGTCCGTTCGCTTGCAAAGTGTTATGCACGTAAACATTAAAATTCCATTCCTGTAAAAGTGACAACCCGGCCAAACCAAAAAAGTATTCACCTTATCAGGGGCAGATCTAGGATTTTCCTCAGGGAGGGGTGCGGGGCTCTCAGGAGGGGCTGCACCCCACAAAAAGTCATTAAATGAACTGATACAAAATAAAGAAAGTATTGAAGGATACAGATCACGGGGGGGGGAGTGCGCACCCCCTGCACCCACCAGCTGGATCCGCCCCTGCTTATATGTGCGGCTACCGCATATAATACCTATGATAAGAGCTCGTCTTACACTTTGGTCAAGCATTAATTGTAATATATTCAAAAATCAGAAACCTATAAGGGAATAGAAACGTGTAGCGCCCCGTATATTTCTTCAGCACCATCATCATATACATTTGTTTACCTACTTAATACAAGGTTGGACACAGACAATTTTATCTCTACTTGCACTTGATTTTCTTGTCAAAATCCATCCTTTTGTCCACATTCACTTAACTGCTCCATAATAAAGATGAATGTCCGAGAATTCGTAATGAGAATATTAACGAGTTTTAGAATTAGAAATGAAGTATAACATGAGATCGGTTCACTTGGCATAACATTTCATATATGAAGCTTTAATGTGTACATGTCAGGCTTTCTGTACGTACATTAGTGACCTTGTATATGTTCATCCATATATGGAAGTACGAAATATTCTCTACTCGGCTAAGTGGCACGGCTGTAAGTGTCACGGTTACATTTATTGACTTCTGACATTGCTAGAGAAAACTACATTTCTTAAGGTGTTTCGATTGTAATAAATATCGTTTCGCGCGTATTTTTAAACTCCAACTAGGTCGCAAATTTCGATTCCATTTGCACTCAAACTTTCACAGAAGTAACAGTGATTATCGATAATTCTTGTTGATAAATTAATTTGCCAAAAAGCGAAGCCATTTGGATAAACGATGCAAAATAAAAACACCTTCATTTTTCTTCAAAGGTCTTCAAAGTTATTTTTTTCGAAACTCATCGCAGAGATTGTAATAAAATTCTCAGAATCATTTCTTAATAACATAATTGATATACTGACGAAATTTTAATGAAATCTTAACCTAAAATTTCGAGTTGCTCGAATGTACATCATTTTGCTCAAACAACTCGAAATTTTCATTTTCTGATTTATGAATATAGTTTTTTTTCGTTATATTTTATCAATTTTCGGTTCTGGATAGCGTGTACTCGCCTTCTTTCAAAACTCAACCTCGTAATAACTTTTACCCAAAATGCAGTGCGATTTTCGATACCCCATGATCACACAGCGCGCTAAGTTGACCAATTTAATCATGAATTTTGAAGACCGAGAACTACGTATATATAAACGCGGGAGCCTCCTTCAACCTTTTTAAAACAACAACTGCTGTCAATTAGAAGCTGCAGCTTATAAGCAGCTGTAAGTAGCACGGTTACATAATCAGTATCAAAAGTCGTCCTTGGCAATGAAGACTGATCTTCCTATCGGCCGCTCATATTGTATGTAATATATATCATATATATATATATTTTTTGTTAATATCTGGTTATTGTTGTTTTCTTCGGGATCTGAAATGCTGATTTCCTGTACGCGATTTTTCGGCGTACTTAGTGCGTCTTCTTCAGGCTTGGATTGTGTTTTACTGATCAAATATTTTCTTTAGAGTTGTCTTCTTCTGATATGTAATATATGATGATGGATATCATATATTACATATAGAGGATATTGCACGGCCGCGCGGATATCCCCAAGCGAACATGTAATATTCTATTTATCATATAATTTTATATGAAAGCAAATTATGTCGTAAAATGCCTTTTTTTCTTACTTGCATTATATAGAGAAACCTCGAATGTGTTATTTTCACTAGTGAAAATAACACTAGTGAAAATAACATGTTATTTTCACTAGTGAAAATATCAATTTTACGTCATGGAGAAATATAGGTATTTCATAGATAATTATATGATAAAACGTATTCCTCAATGGCGACCATAGCATTGTTCACAAGGTATTCTTGATAATCTGATATCAAACCAAAATTAAAGAACAAGGGCCTGTTTGTATTCAGTGATTCAACACAGTTTTAATCCCAGATTTCTTTTGTAACCATGTTCCGATGGGTGCAAATAACAAAGCGATGATACCGACTCAGACTAAGTTTGGACGTATCTACATATTTTCGAAACGGCATATTTTTAATTCGTAGACGAATGGCTTTGAAGAAAACATGATTTTTATAGAATTTATATAATTGAAATATATAAATATTGCTATAAAACCGGAAAAATCATCACAATTTCTTACAAATAGAGCAATTTAAGAGCCTGTGCCAGCTTGTTAGAAACTATACAATATATAGACTTGATCTCAATGACATCATGAGCGAAAAAAAACAAAGTACCTTTCAATCCAGTATTCTCTTCTTCAACCTTTTTAAAACAACTGATGTCAATTCGAAGCTGCGGCTAATAACCAGCTGTAAGTGCCTCGGTTAATACATAATTATCAAAAGTCGTCCTTGGTAATGAAGACTGTTCTTTTAGGTTAGTATATCTAAACGCGGAAGAATACGAGATAAAAAGAAAAACTTTTAAGTTTAAAAAGTGTCGAGAATCATTCTTGCTTAGAAATTCTCGTTTTTCCCTATGCTTTCCGTCTTTTTGACTGTGATGAATAGCGATGAAAAAAACGTCCCTTAAGTGAAACTTGAACAGCAACAATGTTGGGAGACAAGATGGGAAGTTTTGTATCTCGAATTTTTCAACTTAAGGAGAAAGCTTTAAAGCATTACGTTTACAGCTATCGGCACAGCTGAACCAATGACATAAGAATTTCGTGCCTGACCTTGTGCCTTTGGTAGTCATTTGAGCGACTTTTCATATTATGGCAACCCCAATGTAACCCACTCACGGGTTGAAACTGTAACGTTAAACAGTGTTTAACCGCCAAAACAAGCCGGATTCAAGTCGGACTTACAAAAAAATACTGAACTAAGAAAACCGAAAAAAATGGTTGAGCGTGGGGACAAAAAAGGGGATTTTTTTTAAATAAAATCAAGCCAGAAAATGATTATATTGAATATTTCATAGAATATTTTGTTAAGTATAACCTTTCTTTGATCAACAATTGGACATTTCACATAAAAATAATAGTGCTATTTGGTGATACAAAATGATTATACGATTATTATGCTATCACAATCATTGTTTATTTGACATTAAGAATGATACATATAATTGATTTGTCTCTTTCATATGTCAATACTGTCAAGGAAATGCATACATATCGCGTATGGTTTTATTGAAATATTAGATAAAACGTTGACCTTAATCAGTATTCGCAATTGCACACACCCACTTCAAAAAAAAAAAAGCAAAAAAAGCTGTCGGGGAGAATGGAGAACGGCGATTGTCGAGGGGAGATTGCACGGCCCAAAGGAAATTTCGTTGTCTTCGCTTTTGTTGTATTCGCTTTGCAAAGAAATGGAGACTAAATGAGGTCCTAAATGTAATCAATATACTTACAATACAAACAGTTGTTATTACTCGGGGTTCCTGTGGAACCGCGAGTTTAAATTTCGGGCTTCTTATTTTTCTTATTTTTTTTTCCATTGTCGCTTATCAGTCACAAATTGTCCACAGGTAGCCCAAGCTCATAATCACGTGATATTCTAAAAATGCTATTTAGAGGCCAAATTAGCGAAATATTATTATTGTCCTCGATAGAACATCTAAATYAAAGTATTATTGCGAAATTTTGAGCCAAAATAATGCTTATTAACAGAAATACAAGCAAACGAAAATTGGTAAGAATGTATGGGATTATCACRGCTCAATGCGTTTTAGACAGGTCAAGAAATACCTACAAAAGGCTGTGTTTTAAGATCTAAATGAATTTTTTATGTTCATGGCCAAAAACAGCATATAATAGCCGACTTTAGATATTTTGGTTCAGTGACCATGCACAAAAGAATTGTAGACGAGGCTCCGGGGAAATAAAGAATAAAACGATATTATACGCTCTTTGATTGGTCATTTTGAAGCGTGCACTTCAAATAACTCTTTGCAATATTAAAAAAAATAAAATTATCAATGGCTAATCTTGAGTTATTCTTTATTTCCCCGGAGCCTCGTCTGCAATTCTTTTGTGCATGGTCACTGAATCAAAATATCTAGTCGGCTATTCCCAACAGTTATGCAAAGTTTGAAGTCAAACTGCGATTTTTTAGCAAAAATATAAGCGTTTGAATATGGTCTTACTTTACGAATGTATGGGAACCGCGCGGACAGTAACTCCGAGTGTCGAAATGAGCTCAAAACTAATGATTTTGCTTCAGTTTTCTAACAATATCATTCTAAAAAATTAATTTGATGCTGAGACTATACTTGTTTTAAGATTTATATCAAGTAGTAGCTTGACAGTATTGCGTGGCATATTTTTGAACGTTAATAAGACTTAACTCAACGAATAAACAGCAAAAAAAGGTGAAACTTTCCGAGAGAACTTCTATCATGCTCTTCAAGGTATTTTAGTACTTTAATGTTGTGTGTCTGTGATTTTAGAATTTTTTTCGACTGTCATTATCGAGAATTGTCTATCAAACAAGCTACCTATCTTAGCACAAGCGAACTATATACGAACTTATGCAGGCTCTGAAACTACTAAGGTCTCGTAATTAACGCGATAAGAACATTTTAAAAGAGTCCTTGCTTTGACTGATAAAATCAAATTTGCTAGACAAAATGTCGCTAAGTGATATCATAATGGCTAATACGTTGACCTCTTAGACCAAGAAAATAAATACTTTACAAGGAAAAAGATGCCTATAAAATCATTAAATTTGCCTTTCTGTTATTGATAAACAAAGTTTCTTCTTGTTCTAATTTGAAATCTTGACAAGACTGTCTAACGTTAGAAATGTCATTGATTCAGATTCGTAAGCATACAACTCAAAGCTCCATGCGATCCGCACATGCGCGTACTTATGATGCCTAGACTGATGCATTCCGATGAGATCACAGATACCACATTTGCAAACAAATAGTTTTTTTACTCGTGACCAGGCCCTAGGCCGGGTCACGAGTCAGAAAATGCAGCGCGTATAGTTTTTTTTTTTTTTTTCTGTGTGAGACCTTTGTCTTCGGGCTGACCTTTGCGTCCCGAACGCATATCACATTACGAACTCGGCTGTACCTTTGCCCCCGATCGCACTCCGATCTCTAAACGAAATATCATATTACGAACTCGGCTGTAAACAAGCGTATCATAGAACAGCAAAACTGCTCGGGATTTACTGTAGCTTTTATACTAACGAGATATAAATCGATACTTCGTAGATAAGTGAAGCCCGTGGATGTCTCATACAGCACGCAGTTTGAATTGAAGAAAWATTCTTSAAAACTCGGAATTATCGACTGTTGAGGTCAGACTCTGCCGCTTATTACTCATCTGCGCATTTGGGATAGCGGAAAGAGATCTCAAGTTATACGATCGACAGCTCTTCTACATACGAACCAGTACTCTAAACAATCGTATCATAGAATCATAGAACAGCAATAACTGCCCGGGATTTACTGTAGTTTTTTAGCAATTCTTTGATATTCGAGGCCTTTTGTTATTCCAAAACATTCATCTGTGTAAGAGCATGTATTAGGACATTGGTTTAGGTCATAAAGGTTGGTGTATCGAGCCAGTTCATTTCCCTTGGCGAGATATAAACCGATACTTCGTAGCTGACTACGTGGCTGTCTGATTCTGAGTTGCATAGCCTATATTTTCTAATTTGATGAGGGATTCTGTCTCTTCTGGTTAAAGAAAACAATGCTATTCACAGATGAGTATTCCTAGATGAAGATCGTCGGGCCCTTCCTGTTTGCGAAGATCCCTCGCCACACGGCGCCGAGCTGTCTGATTTTGATACTGTAGTATACTTGACCTTTTAAAAATTTAATCAAGCTGCCAATGGCAACATAACTCGGAGATTGTAAGAGCTGCTTTTGCAAGATGGTCAGCTGTATTTTGAGCATTTTATTAACACATTAGATAAGTTATTTNATGCAATTCAACCGCCCCAATAGTCCACTTCGCGGATAATTCGAAATTTTACATTACGTCGTTATGGTAAATCATTGACATCACTGGAAAGAGCGTCATAAAATCAGCAAATTTGCCAAGTTTGAAAATAATCTGATTTAAATTCAAAGAGATACGGCACTTCAAAAACACTAAATTTTGCATAGAAATGTTTGGCCAGGTTGTAACAAGTCAAGGTCAACCTCGGTCTCATGCCGACAGCCATACATTTCTTTGTAAATTTTGCCGACTTTTAAACGCTGTTTCTCCTTGACTTTTCATCGAATCATGCTCAAACCTGGTAAACACACTAATTTCATACTGTTCTTTCCAGTGGTGGTAATAGTTTTTCGATATTTGCTCAATTTCTAATAGCTGTGTTATCCGCGAAGTGGACATTTAAATTCAACATTTAAATTGGCATTAAAAAAATAGTATTAACTAACAAGATAAGTTATTAGTGAAAAATTTGAGTAGCTAATGCCTTCATGTATTGAAAGAACAAGTGAATAGATGAGGTGACGGTTTCGGCCACCATTTTGTTCCGGTAGGCAAAGTGTCGCAAAATAACAAGGAATGACCGGGAAATCGATGTSAAATAATTCTCGCTGAATTCAAATTCCGAAAGAATTATCAATTGCAAACGTTAGATACCTCAAAAAGGAGTTAACGGGCAAAATTTGAAAGGCGTACTTGATCTAGAGAGCGAGTAAACTCATTTTTAGTTCTCCATACATTTCTTTGTAATTTCAATACATTTCGTTATCATTTCCGGGGTCATCAGTGCGTGACGCGCGTGAAAAATACAAAGAAATGTATGGAGAACTAAAAATGAGTTTACTCGCTCTCTAGATCAAGTACGCCTTTCAAATTTTGCCAGTTAACTCCTTTTTGCAGTATCTAACGTTTGCAATTGATAATTCTTTCGGAATTTGAATTCAGCGAGAATTATTTRACATCGATTTCCCGGTCATTCCTTGTTATTTTGCGACACTTTGCCTACCGGAACAAAATGGTGGCCGAAACCGTCACCTCATCTATTGGTATATCATAACTTTGTTTTGAGCTCCTTTGTTGAAGTATGAAATCCACATTGTTCTTTTGATTATTCTTTATGCTCTTGATTTGCAGTTTTGCAGAATTATTCCAGTGCTTTTCTTCCAATCACTGTTAAGCGGATTAAGGTTTATTGATAAAAATATAAGCTTATTAGTTCAGAGAGACATCGAAATTTATAAAAGGAAAAGATACATGTAAATTAACAACGGCGACATAAAGTTCGAAGTGTCTGTCTCAACTTACATGCCCGGCTGCCGTGTAAATAGTGGAAGTCAAAATGTCCGTTTGCGAAAAAAAAATACAGAATTACTGAACAAAAGTCCTTGGTTAGCTCTAGCTTAGGTTTAGGGTAAGGTTTGGGTTGGGTTTAGCGATGAAATTAATGATTTAGTCTCGGTACGTAAGCTAATTATTTGAAAACAATGAATACTCACGGGCAGGTTGACACAGCCTAAAAAGTTTGATTTGTAATTCATATGATAAACTTAAGATTTAAGTATGTCATTGCTAAGCTTTGTACATTATTATCTTACCTTGAAGTCTAAAGCGGAATAGAAACCGTCCATTTGCTTGAAGTTTATTTATAAGGCCGTGAAAGCTACTTTTAGCAGAGACGCCATGTTGACACGTACTCGAAGCGAAAACCCAGTCAAAACTTATTGCAATCGGTACAATTCTACGTCAAACAATATAATTTTTACAATTTTTTCTCCTCTTGAATCCAGGTTTTTAAGTTAGTGCGATGGGTCAGTTGTTTTCGGCAAATATCGATTGAATCCACAGCATATAACACAGGAAACCCATCATGGTGAACCTTATTTTA